CTGCTGCAGTTTCTGCTGCTGCTGCTGCTGCTGCTGCTGCTGCAGTTTCTGCTGCTTCTGCTTTTACTGCTGCTTCTGCTTCTGCTGCTGCTTCTGCTTGTGCTTCGTTTTGTGATATCGCCTGGATAAAAGCATCTGCTGCTGCTGGTGCTGCTGCTTGCCAGTAGACATGTTGCTGCTGCTCTCGCTGCTGCTGCTGCTGCTGCTGCAGATCGCCTCGCTGCAGCTTCCAAGGCTGCTGCTGCGAAGCAGCTGGCTTCTTACGGCCTGCTGCTGCCAGAGGCGCCTTCATCCGGTTTTATATTGGGACAAGAGGCCGCGCTGCCTGCAGCAGCAGCAGCAGCAGCAGCAGCAGCAGGACCTGAATGGCAAAATCTGCTGTCTCTGATGGCTTTGCGGCTGCGACTGATGCTGCCATCTGTCCAAATTTCGCTGCAGCAGCAGCAGCAGCAGCAAGAGCGCAGCAGCATTTTAGAAAGTCCTTATCAGCAGATCATTATTTCTCGGGCCTCAGAAGCTGGGGAGAGAGACACTGAAGCAGCAACTGCAGCAGCAGCAACTGCAGCAGCAGCAGCAGCTCGCCTCGCAGCAGCAGAGGAGATTCTCAGCATTGCCATTAGGGAGCAAGAGCTCACTCTTTCGCTTAGCAGCAGCAGCAGCAGCAGCAGCAGCAGCAGCAGCACGAAGCAACCTGTGATGCACATGTCTTTTGGAGGTGTCTGTACAGCTGCCTGCCACTCCCCCACAAATCTGCTGCTGCAGCTGCCGCTGCTGCTGCAGCTGCTGCAGAGCCGGTACCAGGAGCTGCATGCGTTGCTGCTGCTGCTGCTGCCCCCCAAGTGGGCCGCAACGAAGCCTCCAGAGCTGCTGCTGCTGCTGCAGCAGCAGCTGCAGCAAGAAGCACAAGCAGCAGTTAGCAGCTCGAAGGAGATAGTTCCTTCCTTTAGCTCTTGGGCTGCAGCACTGTACGGGGTAGTAAGGGAGGCCGCTTGGCAGCAGCAGCAGCTGCTGCTGCTGCAGCAGGACGAGGAGCAGCAGCGGCAGCAGCAGCAGCAGCAGCAGAAGCAGCAGCAGCAGCAGCGCCGGGACAGCGCCGCGCAGGTCATCCGCCTCAGCGACGAGCTGGTGCTGCCGCTTTTTCCCGTTGCTTCTGAAGAGTGGAGCAGCAAAACTAATGCTGCTGCTGCTGCTGCTGCTGCTGCTGCTGCTCCCGGTGGTGTCCCTGCTGCTGCTGCGCCAGTCCCTCCTTCTCTTACTGCCCGGCCCGCCCGACGAGAGCCTGCTGCTGCTGCTGCTGCTGCTGCTGCTGCGGCACAGCCCCAGGCAGTTGCTGCTGCTCCCCGAGTGCCTGCAGCAAGGGCAGCAGGAGCAGCAGCAGCAGCGAGAGCAGCAACAGCAGCAGCAACAAAGCCAGGAGCAGCTGCAGCAGCACCAAAGCTGCAGCAGCCAACAGCTCCCCCGCTTAGCAGCTCTCCTTACTCTGCAGCTCCTGCTGTTGCTGCTGCAGTACCCGCTGGAGCTGCAGCAGCTGCAGCAGCAGCAGCGAGAGCAGCAGCTGGGGCACAGTCAGCAGCGCCAGCCCCAACAGCCCCTAGTGCTGCAGCAGCTCCTGCTGCAGCAGCTCCTGCTGCAGCAGCAGCAAAGCCATCAGCAGCACCTGTAGCAGCTTCTGCTGCACCAGCCAGTCGGGAACAAGCTGCTGCTGCAGCACCTGCAACGGCGGCCTCGCCTATACCTGCTGCAGCGCCTGCGGGCTCGGGGCCTGCTGCTGCTGCTGCTGCTGCTGCTGCTTCTGCTGCTGCTGAGACTACTGCAACACCACCTGCTGCTAAGTCCTCCCCAGACTTAGCACGCTCACCTTCCGCCCTCAAGAAGCGTCAAGATGCGAATGAAGAGCACACTGCTGCTGCTGCTGCTGCTGCTGCTGCTGCTGCTCCTGCTGCTGCTGCTGCTGCTGTTCCCAGAGCAGCAGCTGGAGCAGCAGCAGCAGCAACCAAGCCAACCTCACCAGGGCTGGCGGCAGAGGCAGCGCCAGCGCAGCAGGCAGCTGCTTCTCCAGTCCCCCCGCTGAAACCGTTGAGGCCAGCTGCTGCAGCAGCAGCAGCAGCAGCAGCCCGACCAGCAGCAACAGATGCAGCAGCAACAGATGCAGCAGCAGCCGCAGCACCTCGCGCTGCGGCGTCACCACCAGCAGAGACTCGAGCTGCAAAGTTTGGAGGGATATCTCAGCGGGTAGCTCCTGCTGCAGCGGCTGCAGCTGCAGCGCAGCAGCGGCAGCAGCAGCAGCCGCAACAGCAGCAGCCGCAGCAGCAGCAGCAGCAGCAGCAGCAAAAACCTCAACTTCAGATCCCACGTCTGCAAACTCAGGGTCTACAGAACAGCGAGCGGAACTACGACCAGCTCCCCTTGTTGCAACAGAGACAGCAAACGCAGCAGCAGAGCCAGCAGCAGCAGCAACAGCAACAGCAGCAACAGCAGCAGCAGCAGCAGCAGCAGCAGC